ATAGACAGCCCATAAGGGAAATCCACAATACAACAAGGGAGATCGGTGCATGCTTCAAATGTACAAGGAGATCAGATAATGGTTTAGCTGACACGTTGGCTAAACAAGGGACTATGAGGGAGAGTATGTTTTGGGCAGTTTTGTAAGAAAGATAACTGGGGCTCAACACCTACTTAGGGGTTGACAGTTGTACTTAAATCTGGAAAGTTATTTTAAAGTTATTTAATGAAGTTACCTTTTCCAATCAAAAAAAAGGGCCAAGAATAATGAGCAGCAAGAGATATGACAACTCGAATTGAATTCATCTTGGCTACTGGAGCAAAGGTTTCCTAATAATCAATGTCGTAAGATTGAGTGTACCCTTTTGCCACAAGTCAAGCTTTATACCTTTCAATTGAGCCATCAGCTTTATGCTTCACTATGTAAACCCACTTACATCCAACAGGAACCTTGCCCACTGGAAGAGAAACAATTTCCCATGTCTGATTTTTCTCAAGCGCCTCCATTTCCTAGTTCATAGCATCCATCCAATGAGGGAACTGCACTGCCTCAGTAACATTGTGAGGGATAAAAACATAAGCAATGGAAGAGAAATAGGCACAATAAGAGGGAGATATGGTATTATAAGAGACATAATTTGAGATAGGATATTTAGCACATGTCCTTTTTGCTTTGCGAACCGCAATAGGAAGGTTAAGGTCAGAAACTACACTAGGAGGCTTAGTAACAGGTTCACCGCAAGTATCAGAAACAAGAAGAGGTTCAAAATCCAGATTACCTAAGTCTGGGAAGTCAGATTGTAATGGAGATTCGATCTATGGAGTCCTCTTTTTTCGTCTAACGAACCACTGGTGCCAAGACCAAGGAATAAGAGGAGGCACAGGAGGAGTATTACTACCACCACAAGGAGGAAGAGAAGAAGGAGAAGGATGGACAATACCAGTTACAGCTAGAGCAGGAATCGGCATACAAAAAGGAGTCCAATCTTCACTAGCATTCTCCCCCTAAAGAGAAGGACGAGAAGAGAAAAAGAAGGGAGTAGATTCAAAGAATGTAACATCTTTGGGCACATACCTTTTTCCAGAGCAAGGGTCATCACAACGGTACCCTTTTTGGACTGAAGAATATCCCAAGAAGACACACTTAATAGACTTTGGATCAAATTTCAACCTAGAAGGACTCATATCACGGACAAAACAGACGCACCCAAAGACCTTAGGAGGAAGATGGAAGGTATCCTCATAAGGAAAAAGAGGTTGATGAGGAGACTGGAGGTGAAGGGTCCGCAAAGGAAGTCTATTAATAAGATATATAGCTATTTGTACAGCATCCCCCTAAAACCGAGTTGGGACATGTGTCTGAAATAACAATCCCCTTGCAACTTCAACCACATGTTTGTTTTTCCTCTCTGATACCCCATTTTGTTGGGGGGTATGAGGACATAAACTTTGGTGTATTGCTCCTTTCTCTTTAAGGAAAGTTTGTAGGTGCTTCTCAAAGTATTCCTTGGCATTGTCAAATCTAATAAATTTAATCATCTTTTCAAATTGTGTCTCCACCATATTAAAAAAGCCTTTTATAATTGAAGGAACATCTCGGCTCTTCATCAAATACAGCCAGGTATATTGCGAGTAATCATCAACAAAGAGAATAAAATATTTATAACCACCCATACATAGAATAGAATAAGGTCCCCAAACATCAATATGTATTAAATGGAAAGAAATACTACTTCTCTTGTTACTTGCAAAATACGTGGTTCTACATTGCTTTGATAATTGACAGACTTCACATTGTAGACCAGAACTAGACAATGACTCAAATAGACTAGGAAACAAAAACTTCAATGAACCAAAAGACACATGCCCAAGACGGCGATGCCACAATTTCAATTGACTTAGTTTTTCATCATGACAGGACTCAGACTGACACATTAACCCAAACTTTGGAGACTGATCAAGAAGATAAACTCCATCGGCTTCATGTCCACTGCCAATCATCGTTCCCGTACTCAAATCCTGAGAGACACAATAAAATGGAAAGAATGTTACAGAACAATGTCCTTAGAGAATAGAAGCCAATCATCGGCTTCTAGTCGTGTTCTTCGCTTGAGAATAAGTTGAAGTTAGCCTATCCCAAATGTCCTTAGCTGTTGGAAGGAACATACAGTTGCGGGCAATGTGAGGCTGCATAGAGCATACCAGCCATGACATAACCAGCAAATTATCCTGCTCCCATTTGGAATAATTTGGATCTTCAGGCTTCGGCTTAGCTTCCTTACTGGTAATAAACCCAAGCTTACCTCTTCCTCCAATTGTGAGCTTAGCTAATTGAGACCATTCAAGAAAATTTGTTCTATTAAGTTATACAGTAGTAATTTGCCATCCAACACTGTCATTACTTCCCGGGAGGACATAGGTAGGTACGTACACATCCTTGTGTGAATCCATTGACCACTACCCCTCTAAAAACACTTTTCTCACCAACACCACAATCTCCCAATGCTAGTTGAACACCCAAACACCTTTCCTTGAAGGTTAAACACGAGCTACAACAATAAACAAAAGAAAAGGTGTTGGCAGCAAAATAGAGGAAGAAAAAAAAATCCCAAAAAAAAATTTAAGGCTCCAAAAAATCTGACTGCTTCCTGTAATCTCAGAAAATTACCACACTTCAAACGCAAGTGGGTTTAACAACAACCAGACCACCATACAAGCATGCAAGCCCTAAAGTCCAAATCTATAATTTTCGTCAATTTTCATCTAAAAAATCCAAGAAAAATGTAAAAGAGCTTCAAACCTCCATGAAATGTATATCAAAATTCCTCTAAAAATGAGGCACATCAAGGGGTGTCAAAACCGCAAATGAACGCCACCAATTGTACGAACTTCTGACGTCAACCGGCAGCATGCTAAAGTCAACAGGTTCGTCTATGAGTCATGACCAGCGGCAGATGCTATCCTTGATCTTCCGATGTTCTGATACCAAGTTAAAGTACTTGAGATTCGAGAAGAAGAAGAAGAAGAGTTTGTCGAAGAAATTAGATGTGTTACTGTTCACACCTGAAGAGCCTTTCTTAACATTTTAAGGAAATTACAAATGGGCCCTTGAATAGGCACCCAAATACAAAAAAGGACAAAAGGACATAAATGCCCTTACATTCTCAACGGTTAACGTTAATTGGGTCATTCACTTTGGTGATTTAATTATTTACTTTGTGCTTAATTGAGTAGTACCTTAAGAATCTTCTATGCATTTTGGATTTTTGTCTAGGTCATTTGGATATGAAGGAAGTCAGTCTTTAGCTTGATAGAATTTATGTTATATCTAATTTTTTATTTCATCTGGTTGTATGGAATTAGATTATAAGTAGGTAACAAAAAGAGAAACGAACATTATGTCATTTCTTGTAGCAAGTAGGTGACAACATGATATGCTAACAAACAGATGACAAACAAGTCGAGTAGGTGATACACGCAAGGTATAACTGAAAGACAAAACAAGCAACTGATGGAAGCTATTTGCTTATGCAGGATTTTCTCAGTCAAAGGGATGACTAAAAGACAAAATCCATGGTTTTTACCCAATTAGCCATTTTGATCTTAATGCCTTCTACAATGTCCTCTAAACGCCTGGACTTTTCTTTGAACAATCTTTCATTTCTTTCTTCCCATAGTGTCCAAATAGTTGCTGCCCCGGCTGTCTTCCATAGTAATCTTCCTCTCTTTACGCTTGTCTAAAGAAACTTGGGCTAAACAACATAGTGAAATCTTGTGGTGGGGGGTAGGGGTGATCATTTCAGCCCGGCCCGCACAAGCCCGGCCCGGAAATTTTGGGCTTGGGCCAGGGTTTTGTGCTCAGGCCCAGCCCGGACCTGGGCCCACATCAGACCCGCAAATTTTAGGGCCAGGCTTGGGCTTAATACTTCAAGCCCGGCCCGGCCCGTATATATTTAAACTTACACATTTTGTGTATAATGTATACATATGCATACATGTTATTTTACATTATATTATATATTTTATATATAAATATTATAACATGACATGTAT